ACCTTGGTGGTCTCCTGGATTCCAATCCTCACTTTCAAGTCTTATTCCCTGCTAATCTATTCCTGTTTCAGATGACTGTCATTGTAGAGAAGCTGTCCTTCTCTTTCTTGCAGCTTATTTCCAAGCCCAGCTCAGTAGATTTTGGTGTTTAACTACATTAGAGTTGAAACCCACTTCTTTATTCATGGATCAGGCTCCAAGCAAATACACAGAGAGCTTAAAGGCATTGGAATAAATCCAACCCTAAAGCTAGTCAGGGGCCCTTCCCTGAATAAATGTCTTGAGAGCATTGAGCAGATTTTAGGAGTGCTTCAGGTTTTTTAAAAATTGGACTTGAAGAAGTTTTAGCAAGGTCTGGACAAGGTCAGGAGGCACTTCCCACCCTTCTGTCTTAGTGAAAGGAATGTGTTGGTGCTTGCAGGTGTCATCACGAGTGAAAGGAAAGGTGTGGGGGTCTCCAAATATCTGCTCAACTGACAGACTCCCTTTCCAAATGATTCATGTTTACAGATTACATTCCATTTGCTCTGATAACATGACCTACCCAAGTACAATCGAGGCACTTCCAGAATGGCCATAAGAAAAAGCACGGCAAGATCAGGAGCCAAAAGATCATCTGGATAACTGAAAACTTGACCTGGAGAATAAAGCAGAGTAAATAAAGCAGGAAAACAAAGCAGGACAAAACCCAGCTGTGCATCAGCACAGCTTGCTCTGGGGACAATACCTGCGACTTACTTTTGTAAATAATCATTGCAAGAGTCACCAAGAAGTAGAAGATGTAATAAATCCCATTTACATAAAGCAGGATCTGTAAGGGAAGCGATGACAGCTGAGAACAGTTGTTAAGGATGTCTCATAGTGATGAGGTGGGATCTATTCCATAAAATCACCATTTCCCAGTAACCCCAAAATATACTGCACTCCCTCTTTATACTGAACGGTCCAGCTATGCCTGGCCTGTCAGGAGGGTTCAGGCAGGAACTTGAGGCTGTGAACACCACAGGCTGGGATAAAAGCTTGCTGTTTCGGGCTTGGCTTTAGTTCCTTTCTTAAGGAATTTTATTTGGTCTGTAGTGGGGCATCTGTTAGCCTGAGGAAGTGGGGGGGATGCATGTGTACATTGCCCCAGACCTCTTAGTCAGCCTTAAGGAAGTTGACAGAGAGTTGTCAAACTCCATCAAACTTGTGTTTGGAGAAGAGGTGGCTCTGTGCAGCAGCCAGGCCTTGTTCCTGCCCACAGCATGGAAATGCTGTGCTCCATACCTGTCTGAGCTCAGCTTTGAGATGCAAATTCCTAAGAAACAGCCTCAATTCACTCCCCTCTCTCCCCCAGCCCTTTTCAAATCATACAAATATCTCCAAGCAGGGATTTCATCCCAGGCATCTTTTACAGGAACTGCCCATCCCGTTTCTAAACCCACCCACACGCCGTGGATGGATTCCAGTTCCCAGAGCAGCTCATTTTATTAATACAGAACCAGGTTTTGGGGTTTTTCCAGTTGAAGGAAGGTGGAGCAAAAAATTACTAGATAGGTTCTAAGCATGGAAATCTCCAGAGCCAAGGGTGTCTCCTCCTAGGAGTTTACTTGGATCTCAGCAGGAGTAAAGATGGGGTGACTTACCATAAGAGAGGAGGAAGTTACTACTGAGAGCTGCTTTTACTACCCCTTGTCAGCTGTGTCAGCTGTCTGTGAGCTGTCATGCAGGGGGTGTGTACACCAGTCCATAAATACAATTTTTAACCTCCTTTCCTAAGAAAATGGGTTAAGTCATGACTGCAGAGGGGCTAAAGGGGTTTCTGCAGGAGCCCATCAGCTAAACCCACACAAAACACCTTCCTTTGGAAGCCATAAGGTCCCAGTTGTGCTTCCTGGGGATGACACTGACGGAACATTTAGGAGTACAAACCCAGCACTGTGCAGAGTTACTGGGCAGAAGACAGCAATCCACTTGAGGTAGTCTTTTCCAAGATTCTTGCATGGTGGGAGCAGTGGTACAGAAAGGATACAATCTCTGATGTTCTTCCTTTCCATGGAGAAGGAGAAAATAAAGAGAAGAAAATAAGTCTAAATCCAGAAACATTCTAACAATGGTATCTAATTCTGGGAGGAATCTCTTTTTTCATCTCCCAGGAACATTTATTGTTTTCAAGATCATGGTCTTCATGTTCTATTAATAACCTTTTCAACTAGATGAAGGCTCAAATAATCTGGGGAAAATCCCTACTGGGAAAAGCCCCTTTCAGTGAGGAACTTTAGGCTCTTTCAAAGCCTGAAGGAGTGCACAGACATTATCCAGAACTTGTTCATCCTGTCCTTTCCTAGCAGATGACACTTCATCCCCTCTAACTATGCAGGAAGGAGGTGAACACGGGATCCATTTGCTTGTAAATTGTGAGAATGTTTGTGGAGAACACAGGGCTCCCAGTCGCCTCTAAATACCATCCCTCCAAATGTCATCCCTCCAAACCAGTTCCCTTCACAAAGTCATTCCACATCCAACCTCAGTGTGTTCTGATGGCCCACAGAAATCAAACCAAGTATTTACAATGATCCAACCAACACATGTCGCTTTTTTCCTTATTATTTTCTGCAAAAATCACAAAATTCCCATGCAAAATTCCCATGATAACACCAACCTATTAAAGCACCTCTTGCATTCCACATTAATATTCTCGGTCTCTCTCAGACACGAGGAATTGCACAGTTAGTGATTTCTGTTCCAGGGAAAGTAAAACCTGTGAAAGGCCATCTGTCTCCTCAGGGACAGCTTCTCATTGTCACAACACCATTCTCATCCCTGGATTGCAGGGTCAGTGCCCTCTTCACCTCAGTTTTATGCATTTAGGCCCAAATTAAGTCCCCCTACCTCCAGGGAGCTAATTAAGGTGTCCAGTTTGGGAACACAGTGGGAACAGGCACATGATTTTAAGTGATTCATGTGTCCGTGATCCAAAATGTCTCCTGGACCTGATCCTCTCCTCTCTGTACAGGGACTGGGGGCTCCCAACACTCATCCTGTCACTCCTAAGTGACAAGGGGGAAATGGCTTTGATATTGGGAAGAAATTCTTCCCTGGGAGGGTGTGAGGTCCTGGCACAGGGTGCCCAGAGAAGCTGTGGCTGCCCCTGGATCCCCAGAAGTGTCCAAGGCCAGGCTGGACAGGGCTTGTAGCAACCTGGGACAGTGAAAAGTGTCCCTGCCCATGGCAGGGGGTGGGACTGGATGGGCTTTAAGGTCTCTTCCGACCCAAACCATTACAGGATTCCACTATTCCATGTTCATTCAATATCCAAAACTGCAGCTATACCGCTGATGCTGAATTGTATCACAGTCAGAGTCATGGAATTCCCACAGGGAACTCCGAGTGAATTCCCTCAGGGCAGTTCCCCAACTTTATATTTGAACTATTTCCTTAATTCTTTCCTAGGAGAGGGCAGTGAGCCTCCTGCAGCTGTTCCAGGTCAGGATGGCAGCCACTGCTCCTGAGGATGTGCTGCCTCCCTCAGAGCGACTGCGACATGGCACAGGGATAAACCCTGAAACCCCACAGAACCCCCGCCAGAGGGACTCCGAGTCAAGAGGAATTACTATATCACCTGAATATATAATTTCAGTGCTTTACCCAACAAAATCTTGGTTATCTGTCCAGGCTGGTGTTGATTTTAGAGTGAGTGACACTGAGAATGGAGATTTGAGATGGAACATGGCCCATTTTCTAACAAAATGGTTTCATTTTAAACACAAAACTGTATTAGAGGCAACAGCTGTGGTTTACATCATCCAGAGCACTTCACTGCACAGACCTGGGATTAGGATTTTTTTTTTAACAAGTTCGGCAATAATTTTCTAAGCCACCTTTACCTACCCAAGACATAAATTCACCGTTTTGGAAGAAAACTTTGACCTCTGCGAAAGACTTGGAAATCAATGACTTTGGCCACACTAAGGATGATTTCTTTCCCCTCTTCATTCCAGCAGTTCCTAAATAGAAGCAAAGATCTGGATTTCCCGGGGTTGAGGTGCTCCTCAATCCGCACATGCGCCAGGCCCCTGCTCACGGCGCCACCGGGATTTGCCTCAGCTTCTCGGGGTTGTCGCGATATGCCAACGGGGCCGGGCTCGACCTCGGCCCCGCCTCGCTCTAGTCGTGTCCCCCCGCGAGACGTCACCTCTAGCACGGTGGGAGACATCCCCCCGGTGCCCCGGAAAGGACTGTCGTGTCGCTGTCGTGTTGCTATCGCGACACGGCTCACCTCGGCTCGGCACCGCCATCTTGACACCCCCGCCCGCCGGTCCTCCGCCGTCCCGGCAGCCCGCGCGCGGCCACTCGCCCCGCCCACCCGCCTTCGGGCGCGATCGGAGCGTTCGGCCCGGTTCGGTCGCTTTCGGGCGGATTCGGGCGCTGTCCATTCGGGCGTCTCCGTTCGGGCCGGCGAGCGGAGCTCGTGTGCAATCGGAGAGGACTCGGCACACATCGGCGCTGCTCGCTATCGCCTTCGGCAGAGATCGGAAACGGCTCGAGCGCGCTCGGGACTCTTCGCCTCGCCGGGCCGCACCGCTCGGGGACTCGGCCGCGTTCGGGCGGGCTCGGGTCTCACCCGATCCGTCAGGTACCGCTTCGCGCCGCGCCGCGCGGACTCGGCCGCGCCCCATTGGACAGCCGGCAGGGAGCGCGCGAGCCTGTCGCCTTCGCACGGGGCCCGAACGGTTCGGGCCGCTTCGGGCCTCATCGGAAGTCGGTCGGAAGGCCCCGAACACGCTCGTCAGCGCTCGGGCAGGCTCGGCGGCGCTCGGCTCGCCGGTCCCCCCCGCCCGCAGGACCCCCCTCAGGCGCGCCCGGGGGGGCGGCGGGGCGGGCTCGGCCACCCCCGGCCCCGCGCATGGAGCACAGCGACCGCGACTCGGCCGCCGGACAGCTCGGCTTGCCCGCAGGACCCGGGCAGCAGCAGGAGCCGCCACGGGCAGCGGAGAGGGAGGCGGAGCCCGAGGAGGAGGAGGAGGCGGTAACGGTGATGGCGGCAGACGCCGAGCACATCGAGATGGGAGCGCCTCCAATGCCAAGCGCCGACGAGGCCGCTGCCGCCGCTGCCTTCGCAGGTCAGGGCGGGCAGCGCTCCCTCAGCCCGCCCGGGGCTCCACCAGCCCGGGCTCCGGCCCCCACACAGCCCCCGAGGCTCGGGCTGGGACAGCGAGCTCCTTCTGGGAGCGCTCCCACCCCCTCACCGAATCCCACACTCCGCCCCTTCACACTCAGTAAAGAGCAGGAGCCGCTCGGTGCGCCTGAGGCACGGCCCCGTGTCCCCGTAACCAAACGCCCCCAGTCACGCAGCAGGGTCGTGCAGCCGAGCTGCGGTGCTACAGAGTCCAGAGCCCATCGCCCCGGCTGTCTGTCCGAGCGCCTCTTGTTCTTTCAGCCTCGCCCCACGTGGAAACCCAAAGATTTGAGCCAGACCAAATGCTGTACACCACAGAAACGCTGGGCTGTACGTCTGGGCAGTTCTTTAGTGGACAAAGTGCACAGGCCATGGCACCATCAGTTAGTACATGACAGGGGCAGAGTCTGTTGTTCAATCTATCCTGATGTTTGCCAGTTGTCCCTATTTAAATAAAGCACCACAGCTTGGAGTATCCCTAGTACAGGTGCAATACTACTTTATTCCTTAGTTCATCACATGCTGATAGTGACTGCCCTGGTTTCAAGGAGGTTAAAGCCTGTTGAACCCAAAGATTAATAGAAATCAGAATGATAGTGTTCATAATAACTTAGAGGTGCCATTAAAAATAAAATTAATTTTGAATAGAAAGGAAGAAGGATTGTTTTGTTGTTGCTATTCAGCTGTTCATCAGGCTCTGTGCATGCAGCAGAACATTAAATTAACCCTGTTTTACATTCCAGAAGTCACCACAGTGACAGTAGCCAACGTGGGGGCCTCTGCAGACAATGTTTTCACCACATCTGTGGCCAATGCAGCTTCAATTTCAGGACACGTGTTGGTAAGTCTGTCCTTTCATTTGAGGGCATTTGACAAAGTTTCTCAGTGTAAATGAAGATCCGTAGTAAGGTCAAAGGCTTGTTTTCATTGTAATATCCAGGCTTTAAGCCACAAACCCCATTAGCTGGGGGGGTTTTATTCCCATTTTTTTACCTTTCCACCCCCACATACTCATTCTGTAACAGAAGTGGTGGCCTGAAACATGAAATCTTTGAATTTGCTTGTCTGAAAACTCAAAAATTAACCTAATAAATACCATACTGATAGGAATTTTGGGGTACCTGTGGGTTACTGAAATCTATTTGTGTTGAAGTATTCTACTCAATTTAAACTCTTTATTTATTCTGTAGTCTGGGAGAACAGCCCTCCAAATTGGGGACAGCTTGAACCCTGAAAAAGCCACTCTGATAGTGGTGCACACGGATGGCAGCATCGTTGAAACCACTGGGATCAAGGGGCCTTCAGCACCTCTCACACCAGGTATTAGACAGTCTACTTATGGTGGGTCCCTCTTCCAGAGGGATGGCTTCTACTCCACTCTACTTGTCTTTCTGGAATCTAAAAATATGTGCAAAATTTTATGAGGATGGTTTGCCCTCTCTTAAAACCATAAAGTTGTTCAGGTTGGAAAAGACCTTTAAGATACCGAGTCCTCACACAGAATTTTGTGTATTTCTTGGGAATGAAAGAATGCTTTTTTAATTTTTTTTTTTTCTGATCAGAAATGTGTTTAATTTCCTCATTCTTTCCCTCAAAAATAAGCTGTTTGAAAAATCTTGCCCTGCTACTGGGCTTTCTACACCCATCCTACCCCCAAGGGCACACGGATCATTTTAACATGGTTAATAAAAATCCAAGTCTCCCAGTTCTGTGCGTGTTCTTTCCAGGGGTTCTGGAACACATTTTCTTGTCGATTCAGGCCACTGACTGACACTTTAGTGTCGCTGAGGTTTTGTTTGGGGCTGCCTGCCAGTTTCCTTGCTGCCCACGAGATGGCAGAGCAAACCTTCAGTGCTCTAAAACTGTCCACAGGATGTGCTCTGCAAAGGGGAAATCTCCAGCCAGCTCCTTACACCACGGCTTACAGGTTGTGTAAGGATCAGTTCACAATCTCAGCATTTATTCCCTGTTAGAGCCTGTTTCCTCAGGTCCTCTATGCTTAATTATCAGCCATTCTCAGTTTGTTCAGGTTGAGTTTTTTGTGCTGCTCCAATGTGGGGCAGTTCCAGCTGCTTCAGTCAACCCCCTGGCATCTCACCCAGCTGAGCATGGGGAGGAGCACCACTCTGCCTTTCGGTTGCTGTCACCTTGCTTTTCTCTTTTCTCCAAGGACCACAGTCTCCTCCTACCCCTTTGACAGCTGTCCAGGGGAAGAGTGGAACCAAGTACAACTGGGACCCATCTGTGTATGAGAACGAGCTGCCGGTGCGGTGCCGGAATATCAGTGGCATTCTGTACAAGAACAGGCTGGGCTCAGGTAACTGCCACCCGGGCTGAGGGGTGGCACAACTTCTTCTGTACTCTTCTTTTAATCAGGCTGTTCTTAAGGGCTGATCATGAGAGAAAAAAAAAGAAGAGAGTTTCTAAGCCAGTCTGGTGCCTTTTTGATTTTTATTGTTCCCTTTTGTTTTGCTTTTTATTCAGAGGCTTTTTAGCTTTTTCTTAAACCTGTGGACATCCAGGCTGCCATGCATTGAGTCTCCTCAGTGATTGAGTCTCCTCAGGCCGACTCCTCTAGTGATTTTTTGTCTCATGAGTAGACTTGTGTTTTTGCAAAGCTCTGAAGAGTCCCTGCTGGAATGCAGATAGAGAGTTTGTCTCTTCATGGAGTTCCTGAGCTCCTCCTCTTGTCTTTTATCCCTGTGGGGAAGCAGCAGCAGAAAGTGCCAGCAGCCTGGCTGCCCAGTGGAGTGCTTGCTTTGTGGACAAAACATTTTCTTCAACACAAAAAGGATAAGAAATTTAAGTGCAACTCGAGAAAAGACTTAAATTTGTGGTATTTATCCAATAAAGAATTTTCTTTTTTTGTGGAGAAGTAAATTTTTAAGACCCCGAGTTGGAGCTCTGACCATGCCCAGTCATTGTCACAACCATAATAATAAATGGACGTAGTTACCCCAGAGCAATGAGAAGCAGCCAATGGGCATAATGGTTCTTACAGATTACCTGCTAGTTTGTCCAGCAATTTCTATATTTTCTTCTTTAAAGAAGTGGCAAAATTCCCCTTAACCTGGACTAACAGTGTGTTTTGGTGCTTTACTTCAGGAGGCCGTGGCAGGTGCATTAAGCAAGGGGACAACTGGTACAGCCCCACAGAGTTTGAAGCCATGGCGGGGCGAGCCAGCAGCAAGGACTGGAAGAGGAGCATCCGCTACGCCGGGCGGCCCCTGCAGTGCCTTATCCATGTAAGGTTCAGTTTGCTCCCTCCTTTCTGCAGGAAGGGGCAGCTGGAACCAGGTGCTGATGGCACCAGGATGCTCAGTTTGGCTGAGGATCAGTGATGTAGGGGAATTGTTTGTGATGTGTCTCAAATTCAAATAGCACACTGGGAATCTTGCTTATACTGGAAAGAGTTTCTGCAGGGTGAAGCCTAGCCCTGAGCTGTGCTGCAGGAATTGAGTTCTCACCCATGATGCTGTAATTCAGTAACCTGATCTCCTTCAATGTCTTTGCCTGCCACTTCTTCTTCACTTTCACCATTCATTATTTGGGTCCTTTATTTGAGTCTCCTGGAGAACTTGGCATTGCCACTAGGCCACAGTTGATTTCTGTGTGGGCAGAAATCAAGTCTCAGATTCATACATCCTGGCCTTTGGGTGTGGAAAAATTTGGTTTTCCTTTTCTCTCCTTTGACCCTCTCACCCCATTGCTCTAGTGTGGGAAACTGACTTCTCTGTTACTGTACAGCATCCAGGAGGGAATGGGTACCACTCCAGGAGCCATCCACATTTTTTGGCAGGATCAAGGTGTGCTTTGGATGATTTTGGTGACTCTCATACTGAACTGGTCACTTCTGATTCCAGGATGGGATTTTAAATCCCCATGCTGCCTCGTGTACTTGTGCCGCTTGCTGTGATGACATGACACTGGTGAGTGGGAGGCTTTACATCCATTACTTTATTTTTGTTGGACAAATTAACCAGACAAGCTGCCACAGCCCTTGGGTGAGCAGGTCACACATGTCCTGGGAACTGAGTGCCTTGACACATGAGTACTTTGAGACAAGTGCTTTGTCCCTGCCCCATGAAGAAAGGAGATAAGGAACTGCTGGCATTATTGCAGAACAGCCTCAGTAAAGCTAGATCATACTTACTGTTTTTTTCTTCTTTTTTTTTTTTTTTTTTTTCTCCTTTTCTAATTAATATATCTATGCAAAATGCCTTTTGGGGATGTTAATGTTATGATTTTGACTCGAATTTCACAATGTTTTGAATTGGAAAAATATTTTTGTAAAGAAGTAACATCATAATCTTATGATGGATCAATATTTTAATTTTGAAACTGCTTGGGGTTTTTGGTTAGTTGATTTGGGGTTTGATTTTTTGCTAGTTTGTTTCAAAAATGAGGTTTAAGTCCTGAAGTAGAAGCAGAAGACTTAACTTGACCTGGTGCTTTGCCTTCCTTTTCTGCTATGAACTGACTGATGTGCTTGTTTTCTAGCCTGGAATTTCTTCCTCTCTTCTCTTCCCTCTTTTTCTCTATTCTTCCACCACCTTGGCCAGCAGCTCATTATCTACCCAGTTCTACTCCTTGAATAATAGTGGAAAGAGGTTGAATTTGTGCCTCTTCAGCTGGAGGGAGCTGAGTTTAACATTTTTTTTTTAAAAGTTTTTTTTGTTTGGAAAACTTTTAAGTCTTTTAAGCTTTGGTCTGTCATTGCAAACCACATATCATCCATGGGGATCTGTGCTGCTGTTCTTGGAAAGATGAAAGTAAACCCAAAGTCTCCAAAGAGATCCCTCAGCTAATGCCTTTTCCTTTTTTCTTTTCATTTTCTTTCTGGTGTTTTTCTACCCAGAGTGGCCCTATACGACTCTTTGTGCCATACAAAAGGCGGAAAAAAGAAAATGAAATACCTGCAACTCCAGTGAAGAAGAATTGCTCCAAAAACATCACTCTGCTTCCAGCCACTGCTGCAACGACGTGTAGGTTCTTTTCTCCTCGTAAAAATTGCTTCCTTTCTTTGGAGAGTTGCCCTGCTAGGTGTTTTATGTCTGTTAGTGGCCCCTTGGAGATATCCAGTTGAGAAAAATGTCCTTTTTTTTGGTCACATGCTTTTGAGTGGATAGTTTTATTGGCTCAGCGTCACTTCCTATTTTATAGAAAGTAGCACAGCGTTGCCACATCAGGACACAAGTTGAATAGGAAAAAGTGCAGCTCTAGACCTCCAGGAAACTCAGGTTTAAGCATCATGACATTTTTGTGCTATGAACAGTAGGCTTCATATTTTGTGCTGAGAGAGGCTTGGATTATGTCCTATGCCTGGAAGTGTTCAAGGCCAGGTTGGATGGGGCTTGGAGCAACCTTGTTTAGTAGAAGGTGCCCCTGCCCATGACAGGGCAGTGGAAGGAGATGACTTTAAGGTCCCTTCCAAGTCCAAGTATTTCAGGATTCTATGGTTATAGTCTATGATTATATTTCCCCCTGTACCAGACTAAGTGGGAGAAAATTATGGGGTCCTGGCCTGGATCCATAGTGGATTTCAGGTAATATTTTTGCAAGTAACAAACTTTCCTGTTGGAAATTTCCTGTTGGAATTAAGTTGTGGGGGAGGCTGGCCCTTCTCTTCTCTGACAGAAATCCCCATTCCATCCCCTGAGCTTCTCTGTGTCCCTTAGAAGATGGAGTAAGATTTGTGTTATTCCTTGCAATATGTAGAAAAAAGTCTGTAAGCAGCTGGAGTGAAACCCCCAGCCTGAAAGTCGTTAATGAAGGAGGCAGAAGGTGTTGCTTTGATCTGCACATCCCTCTCCAACATTCAGCACACACTTTGTTACTTACTGGTTTGATTGGCAAATCATCTGTGTGAGAACAGGAATTAATTTGCAAGCTGATCCAGCTCACACATCCCCAGTCACATCCATGTGTCCTGCTCTCTGCACACTGGCATAATCTGCACGGTAACAGTACAAAGGGAGTGAGGAGGAAGCAACAGAAATCTAAAAAAAGAAGAAAAAAAGTAAGCTTTTGATTAGATCATCAGCAACAGTAGGAGGAGAAACACACAAGGATTCTGCAGAGTTGTTTTATGGCTTTGTTTTTTTTTAGTCCCCAAATAGGTTTAATCTGTACTGGTTTGTTATGTGAAGTGCTGTGAGGCTGCTCATTCTCTCATGCTGGCACTGGAAGAGAGAACTTGTTTCGGTGGCCACATACTTCACCAGCCAGGAATCTGTAGCTACTGTATTCTAGGATTTAATTATTGTGTGCTACAGAATCAACCCATCAGCAATTAATAGTACCAGTTAAATAATCTTCTTTAAAATGGGTTTTAAACATTCTGAAGCCACTCAGGTATAATTATCCAGAAGGATTTTGTGCCTTGTTCCTTGCATTGGCTGAGCATATTCTATCACCTCATGTAGGTAAACAGCTAAAATTGTCCAGCTATCATGGAATCAGCTGTAATCCACAGGTTGTTACTTTGGTTTAAGTAGCAACAATCACTCTTGCTAAAATTGTCATAAAGCAGCCAGAAGTTGATGGGGTGTGTGGCCTCACTGAATCTTAATGGGAGGTGTTAAGTTACAGTTTATAAAGTAACTGGAAACGTGGTGATTTGGGAGGTATTAAGTTGTAAATTAATGTTTTGGCCTTGTGCCCCCAGAGCCTTGGAAGGACAGCAGAGCCTTCTGAAGCCCTCTGGGGCTTTTATTCCCTTTCCAGCTGCACTGGTCACAGGTGTGATCCAAACTGGGTTATCCCAGGCTGCTGATCAGTGAGTCTTCTGGGCTTGTATGGTGCAGCACAGGGAAATCAACAGCTGGACAGGGTTGTCCTCTGCACTGACAGTTAACTATGAAAGTGCTTTAATGTTTCCAGTCACCGTGACTCCCTCTGGACAGATCACGACCTCCGGGGCGCTGACCTTCGACCGGGCATCCACCGTGGAGGCCACGGCCATCATCTCAGAGAGCCCGGCACAAGGGGATGTTTTCACTGGAGCCACTGGTAAGAGCTCAGGTGTCTCCTCGACAGCCATGGGGAGGAGTAAAAGAGGGTTGGATGCCCACTGCTGTACGAAGGAACATTTTGAATGCAACAGAAAGGATTTATTTCTCAAGGGAGACACCACATAAGGCGCTGTCCTTTCTGTGAAATCATTTCAGCAGTTTGAGATCTTAGCAGTTGCACCAAAGGGGAAGCTTTGCCCTTGAGAGCTGCTAACGTTCACCTCTGCTGAGTTCCTGGGATTTATGTTCATCTCTGTAATTTTTTTTTTTTTACTCCTCATTTAACCTAAAATACTACAAAAAAAGCCCAAACTAGGTGAGGGTTTAAACAGAGTGAAAAATGCCGGGATAAATCAAACAAAATATAAATGCATGACATACATTTCAGTTCTCTCCGTTTGAGTCATGCTTTGGGTTGTGAGCTCTCCTGGGGAAATGATCCTGCACTGAAAACCAGAGTTTGGAGCCCCGTGATGATCATGGATATTTCACTGTGTGGGATGAAACCAAGGAACCTGTGGCTCTAAAGGTGAAAGCAGAGCATGGTGGAGCCAGGATCAGGATTCCTTGCCTGCTGACTGTGTGAGATCCTGCTGCTGTTTCACATTTTCAACCCTTGGGAATTACCAGAGTGTAGGAACTTGTATAAAATGTAAAAAAATAGGGATGAATGCAGTGTAAGAAACACCTGCCAGGTGTGTTAGTGATTCCCAAGGCCCTTGTTCTCCTGCAGTTCAGGACACCAACGTCCAGCAGCCTTGCCGGGTGTCTCATCCAGAGCCTCACTATCCCAGTTACCAGGACAACTGCCAGATCTCACCTTTCCCTGAGGCTGCACTGCCAACGTCTCATCCCAAAATCGGTACGTTTGCTCACTGTGCTTCAATTTCCTCCCATCTTTCTCAGCAAAGGTAAAGATTAGAGCAGAAAATTAAACTTTGCTCTATTTTGTGTAGAGTTTTACAGATGCTAAGATTTAAGCAAGCCAGTTTCCCCTCTGTGGGAAGTTTTTTGCTCTTTATTGAGAACTTTGATTTGTTTATTCTGCCAGAGGCAGCTGCTGTGATTCTGCATCATGAGTCGTCTTGCATTCCCTGCCTGTCCTAAACTGCTTGCTTCTGGATTTTGGTCCTCTTTGGGCACTGTGGCTGAACATTTATTTAGTGTTTGATCTGAGGAGAACAAACCCCATTAAAATCACGTCATAGAAGCTTTTCTAGACATCCTCACATGGCTTTATGGCTCCAGTGGTGCATGCTGGGGGTACTTGTGGGCAGGTTTTGGTGTCAGTTTTCAATCCCCTCTGTATGACCTTTATTTATTTATTTGGAGCAGCACAGGATGTTCCTGGTCTCCAGAGTCAGATCTTCTTGAGTTTAAGACCTAGTCAGATCTTGATGTTACTAATTAAACATTGATTGTTTTTTCACCGGTGAATACTTTCTCTTGCCTGATGTACTTGTGCCAAAATGAGGAATCGGAAGTAATTCCTGTCTGATACGTTATCAAATGCCATGCAGGGATAAATATTGTTCTGGAAATGGAGAGTGGGAAAGGCCCTTGTGCAAACAGACACTGATAAAAAAAACTGGTTTATCTCATACTCATATCTAAGCGCAAATAGTTACATGCCACTCATTTGCAAATTCACTAAAATTACTGTTTTAATTAAGGGTATTTTGAGGTAAGAAGTCTGCACAACCCTGAAGCTGGTATTACCTTCTTTTTACTAGTAAAGAATTCAGTGAGGAGTGTCGAGGTCAGTGTTGGTAGATGTGAAAATCTTGGACTGAATTTTATGGCGGATGGTGAGTATTTATTGCTAGAGTTACATTTTGGAAAAGTAAATTCAGATAACACTTCTTCCTGGAATGTTACCTAAGCTGAGCTTACACTGTGTATGGTGGAATTCCTGGGTCTGGATTTAATTTTGTCCTACCTTGATTTCCCAGTGTACATTCAAACCTAATGTGAAAAGTAGCTGGTTCAGTGACACAGTAACTGCTGGGTTATTAAAGGGCTTCCCAACCCATGGTTTTGGGAAGTCCACCTTTGGAATACACTCACTTGAGGGTAATGGTGACTATCTCAGGTTGAGTCCAGTGCCTGGCCAGGGTTATGTAGAGGTCAGAATTCAGGAAGCACAGAGAGAGTGATGTGGATCAGTACCTGAGTTTTTGTGGTTTTCAACTTGAGCGTTGACATCTGGGTAGGAACATCAGGATGTTTCTGTAAAGTATTGGGTCACTGTGTGACTTACTCTAACCTTACCTAGCCATGGCTGAGGGGAACGTTGTTGGCAGTGGTGCAATTGTTCCTGGGAATGCTTCTTTCACTGCATCATGGTGCTTCTCCACAGCAGTGCTGGGAGGTGTTAAACTCTTCACAGAGTCATCCAGGTCAAGAGGAGGCATTCTTGTCCGGTGGGTTTGCCAGTGCCCATGGGCTTGTTCTGCACAGACCTGCAATTGATGTTGCAGAAGGAATGATCTGTTTTCTGTCTGTGTTTTCTCTTTTGTTCCCTATGTCCAGTGTTGACCTCTCTGCCTGCCCTGGCAGTGCCCCCTGCGACGCCCACCAAAGCCATGTCGCCGTCGGTGGTGAACGGGCTGGAGGTGACGGAGCAGCGGAACTGGCTCTACCTGGAGGAGATGGTCAATTCCCTGCTCAGCACAGCCCAGCAGCTGAAGACCCTGATTGAGCAGGCCAAGCAGGCCAGCTCCTCCTTCCGTGAGGCCGCTGTCACACAGGCCAAGATCCAGGCTGATGTGGAGAGGAAAGAGGTAACTGTGCCACGGGGGCGAGGGGGCTCAGCCATGGGCACCTTTGGGGCTGAGTGGTGGAACCGAGTAGTTCCTGGCTGGAGCAGTGATACTGGAAATAGTTTCTCCAAGCCTTTAAAGCAATGTTAGCAAGAGAAATCTTCCCAAATTATTTGTATCATGGGGAAAGGAATAAAGTGCTCTGGGATTCCAGGAGCTGTGAGACTGCTTGGTGTCACGATCCTGAGCTCTCCCATCAGCTGTCCATAAATTTATGGGATGTGGGCACTGAATCCTAGTCTGAGAAAGCTGGTGAGTGTTCAGCTGTGCAGTGGCTGCTGTCAGGTGAGTTGGGCTGTTGAAGCCTTTCAATGGGATATGTGGAACAGCTTATCCCAAAATTTATGGGGAAGCGTTCTGTCCCAGTGTAAAAGAGGGAGTCGGGGAGGATTCTTTTTGATAGATTTCTGAGATGAAAATAAAGTGCAAATGTGACATATTACAATCCGAATATAGAGAAGGGTAAGTGTCCTACTGAAGGAGAATAGAAAAGAGAGCAGAGGATGGAGAAAGAAACAGAAGGCAGGGATAGCGTTACCACAGGAACTCCGGCGCTCTGTCAGCGCCAGCTGAGCAGGTGGAGGTGCGAGCTGCAAGCCATGGCGAGCCCCCGCTGCTTTTGAGTGGTTGGGCACAACCTTCCACGGGCAGCGGTGGCTGCGAGCCGCCTTGTGCGGCCCTTGTGAGCGGCAGCTGCAGCCTTGGCTGCGCCGGTCGCTGCGGGCTGGTGCTGTGGCAGGTTGGTGGGGAGGGCAGTGCAGAAACACAGCGGCGATGGGGGTTGAGGCTGGGTGCAGGCGGGTGCAGCTGCGCCTGGGAAACACGGTGGAGGCAGCTGGCAGCGCCCCCTCCCTCGGGGAGGCAGCGGAGCACAAGGTGTTTGTGGAAACAGTGAAGCAGGGCAAAGCAGGTAGGGGCAGGGAAGCAGGACCACAGAGAGGGAAAAGTGAGAGGTGTGGGGGAAGAAGGACCAAGGTGACCCTCCGAGTGAGCCCTTGATGCCTCCAAGAAACCCAAAGCAAAATGGCTCACTGTTTTGTCCCAGCGGCTTTTATGTGCTAAGGCTCCTTCCACAGCCCGATTTCCCGGGCATTCTTCGTGGGTATCCGGGTATTTGCCCCACCAGCAAGTAGGGCAGGTCGCTCACAGCCTTATCATGGAGGCTTTTTCTGTCCTGACTGGCTGTCAGGGGAAGCCTTCCTAGGAACAGGGTTGCCAGTACATGTACAGTACTTACAGGAATCCTTCACCTCGTGTGTGAGGCATAAATGAAAATCAAATTGATCTCTCTCGGGAAGATAAGCAGTAAAGTTTAGAGGTACCTTGCTGAGAGCTGTGCAAGCAAAGCTGACTCACACAACTCCTGTGGTAGGATTGGCAGGCTGCCTGGCCTCATAGGAGCTCTGACTGCTTCCCATCTTCTCTCTCTTGTGGCCAGGGATTATCCACAAGGACTGCCCTCTTCTCCCTGCTCTTTTGTGTAACTTATACATGGTAGGGGTCTCAGGTCCTTCTGACCACCACCTCATGCATGCACCCAAGTATGGCTCCATACTGAATGTGCTCTCCTCTCCCAGAGATCCACAGCTACTGGTGTGGACTGGGGAGAGAGAGGTGGGGGGCAGTGTTGGAACTGGTGTTGCTGCCGGTAGCTGCTGAACTCCCTTCCCAAACACCACATTCCTCCTGGTGCCATCAGCACTGTGCTAACGTCAGCTTTCCACTGAATCCATAGGCAGGAGTGTGCAGCAACAGGCCTGGAAGAGAGGTATGGGAAGACTTTGCTGGAAGCTGAGGACCCCTAGGACAGTCCTTGCAGCCTCTTTGATATTCTTTGCCATGTTGGCTCTGCTAAACTCTTCTGTACACTGCATCCTTGATGTGCAGGTGTGTGATATGTTGGGAGTCTAATCCTTCCCTGCTTCCTTTCTGCGGAACAGGTGCCAGTGCTGCTGCCCAGATTTGGGCTGGCTACTGCTGGAAAGCTGCACAGTGTGGGACACTGAAACACTGGAAGCTTTGGCACAGTTCAGAGATAAACAGCTGCTTTTGTTTAACTTCACTCTACTCTTTTTCCAGTCTGTGTGCCTCTTCCCTTCTGTTTATCCTCACAGTGGTTTCTGGAATGGTTGTTCAGTCCCTTCTCTACACCCTCTGATCCAAAACCAGCTCTCTTTTGATGTTCTCCTAGTTACTTCTTGTCCTGGGAATGGGAGTTAAAATCCCTCCTGCATATGGATCAAAGCTGACTTGACATGGGAAGGATGAGCACGTGATTGTTTCCAGGGAAAACCCCTTTCCCAGGAACTACTGCATCCCCAGTTACACCACTTGTGTCTCACCATTCTCAGTGTGTAATGGGGACCTCCACACTTGTGCAATGTGGTGAAACCATATGCTCATGGTGGTATTTTTTATCATCCAGACAATTCTAAGCTGTGCTAGCTGCTGGAACTATCCAGGCAGTATCACAAGTATCTATCTCTGAATGAATTCCTGCTTGTGAAATCCGTATTTGGACAAAACTCTGTGTTTCTGGATACAGGGAAGCAATTACACTAAAGGTCAAAGAATTTGCTCTCTGGTTTTGTGTTGGTTAAAGGGCCTTTCCCAGTTTCCTAGTGATTGTAACATGAGTCTCTTTCCCACTCTGAGTATGTGTGTGGTCCCATGGCTTTTTGGGCAGTTAAGGTATATGAGAGGCACATAGAGGGGTCTTCCTGCCCTTCAGGTTGGGGATTTTTTCTTGACCAGTTTAATACAAAGGAAATCGGTGCTTAATCACCACTTTCTTTGTTCCACTGACAGAACTTCCAAGGGTGAGCAAACAGGGGGGGAAGCTTTTCCTGGGGGTGTCGTTGTGTGGGAGCTGCAGAGTGAGGCTGGACCACAGATGAGATGATAACAGCTGCAGACTCAGCTTTTCCTGGAAGAGTGACTTAGTACAGAGCTGTATTGTAGAGATCTGATAAAAACAGGCTGGTTCCCAACTGGATACACAAACTTAGTGCCATGCATGTTACTCATCAGTCACTATAGTGTGTTTTGGTACTAAATTTATTATTTAATGAGCTTTAGAGTCGTTAAATATCACAAAGGAGCTGTCCTGTTCCTATAGGGCAGCAGTTAGGTTGCCTCAGCTTTAAATATCTGGAGCTGTGCTCTGTGCTGGTCAGTGTCGATGTGTGTGGGACTCACACAACTCTGAAGTGTGTCTGATGCGAGGGGTTTGCACTCTGCCTCCCTACTCATGTTATCTCAGCCTGTTTCAGGGGCTGGGGACATCCTTATCCCTTCTGAAGAACTGGTCCAAGTTCTGGAGCTAAAGCTTCATCAGCAGGGAGGTTTTTTGGCATGTAATTTAGTAATTTGGCAGTTCTGACATGCACTCAGTTGCTCTCTTTGTACTTCTTAATCTCTGTAAATTTGTTTAAGGGTCATGGTTTGTGGGGCAAATTTCAAGACTGAGGATCTCCTTCAAATTTTGTTTCCATCTTTCCCACAAGTCATTTTGGTTCCCCTGGGTAAGTCTTTGGCCTCACTGTGCCTCAGATGAAAATAACACTTCTTTCCCAGAGAGCTCATGTCCAAGTTTGCAAAGTGTTATATCCTCTGAGTAAGGTTACATTTGTGTAACTTAGAAGTCCTGGGGAATGATATCCCAAAAGGAAAACAAACCACATGCCCTCCAGCTCCATGTTTATATGAACTTCCAAAATGTGTCATGATATTACAAAAAATGGAAGTATGGAGACATTTATAAGGTTTTTCTGAATTGCAGCATTCTGTGTGGGATGAGTTTACTACAACTTCTCTGGTGGAATTTCATGTGGCTGTTAAAAAACAGTTCTTGAGTATCATTAATAATTAAGTTGTGTCTGAGTATCGAATCCCTTGGTTAATATCTCCATGTTGGCTTTACTGCATTTTTTAGTAAGGGAAAGCATTTAGGAATTTAGGGTGAGTGGGGAAACAAAGGCTGGGTGTCTCTTGCAATAGATATTTGACATTTGCAGATCAGCCAAAATGAGGAGATTAAAGGCAGAACTGACGTGTGATGGTGTGCTTGGGCAATGTAATTTTTTTGAGTGTGCATTAATCCATTGTTTATATCAGATAAACTTTTGGATGGGGATATTACACATACTCACCAAATTCTGTGCCAGAATTGCTGGGGGATAATAAAGAGATTCAGGAAATGTGTTAAATGGATTTTCTGTATAAGTTGAAGAGAATCAGTGTTGAAATCCCACAAATTTTTTAATTGGAATAGCCTTCTGTAAAGCAGGGATGCTTCTGGAGCCCTGCTCATTTGAAAGCAAGGTGGAAAATTAAATCAGCAAACAGCTGGGGCATCTGAATGTATTTTTAGAAAGATTAAACCAATTCGGGGCTGGCGAGTATGAAATTAATCTAAAAAGGGTTGGACAGTTAAGAAATATGTCTCTTGTCAGCAAACAGTGGCTTGTGTACTCCAAACTAGCAGTGATACTATGGGGAATTGGATGTTATGGGTTTTGTGGAGCTGTTTCTGTGAGAGATCTGAATGTGTCTGGCTTGCTCCTCTCGTATCACACCTTTTCTTTCTCCATGGTTTGTGCATGGCTGGAGTTGCCTTGTCAAATAGGGAAAAACCAAATCACACCCCTGGCAGGCCAGAGCAAGAGATTTCCCTGCCTCCACCTCCATCTACCTGGAGTTTTTAAACTTAATTTCTGTCATGGTAGTATCAAGGTTTTGAAGGTTATGGTTTCACAGGAGAACAAATATTGTGCTCTCAGGTCATACACTTGTAAGTTAAGCCTTTAATCTCCTTATGTGTTGAGTCAACTCCTCGATGAACCTGCTTGGCCTGGAGGAAGGGGTTCAGCTCTTTTTGGACTTTTTAACTGTTCCAAATACATTTAATCCAGGGTTAGCACATAATTAATTTAGGATTGGGTTTGTATTTCATTGGTTTGGGACTCCTGTCCCCCATTGCTGAGCATGTTGCTGCTGCAATAGGTACAGCAGCATCTGGTTGGGCTTGAACTGGTGTGACGTGATTCTGCCAGGCAGCCAAAGCGGGCTGTGAACATCACCTCCAGAGGAGTGATGGAGTCACAATGTGTTCTAAAGCCCTCTCACTCTTCCATTGCAAAGAGGAGTAATTGTGGTTAGTGCTGCTCCTAAAGTCTAAGGTGTGTTAATTTTGTTCAGGCTTTTTTCCCTCCTAATCCTTTTTGTTGGGCTTTACCTTCCCTCCAGACTCCTTTACCTCTCAGTGGATTAGGACCATGGACTTTACCCAAAATTTGGCCCCGGAATGTGCCACTTGGCCCTGTTACCTTGGCATTTTCCTTGTGTTTCCTGTGCAAATTTCCCAGTTCCTGTGTACAGGGGGGTTGCAGTTAAACCCCCCATTTTAAGGACAAGTGTGTGGATGGAGTGGGGAGCTGGGCTTGGAGGAAATGCTGTACTAGACTGGCAGTTTGTCACCTCAGGCCATTTTCTCACAGGCTCCTTGCCCTGTCACCACATCAGGTGACAGTGTTCCTCTCCTAGAAGGGAGAAATGAGGGGCCACCCTGTCCTCTTGCAACTGCATTGTCAGGTTGGGCAGACACAGCTCAGCATGGGGACCCTCTATCCTAGCACCCTTTCCAACCCCTCACGTTATGCTCCAGCTGGGAAATGACATGTCTGGTGTGTTTTCCTTGCAGCAATACCAAAGCCAGTTATTCCAACAAACAGAGGATGTGGATGGGAAGACAGAAATCATCATCAAGGTAGGCTGGGGGTGGTTTGTGTTGTGAAGAGCCTTTTGGTCTTTGTCTCATTAAAGACACAGAGGGTTTTGCCATTGCTGTGGAATCCTGTGCTCTATGTCTGGCCTTCTGGCAAGGAATCTGAGCCCTTCATAGTAGGGCCAGTGCTCCAAGCAGTTTCCCCTTTCCCAAGCATTCCAGTTTTCTATACTCCTTTACTGTCACCTGGCCAGGTTCATCAGTCTCCCTCACCACTGAGTGGTGGTGCTGCAGCTCTGGTGAGCTGGTGTTACAGAGCTGTGACAGGAAGAGAACTTGCTTCCTTTCTGTCCTGTGAGCTGGTTTTCATAACTCTACAATTTCCTCTGGCTTTTGGAATGGGAGTTATTTCTGGACCCATGACTGAATCCCTTAGAGCTATGTTGCTCAGTTCCCTTTCATATCTCCAGGTACAACCACGCCTTGTGTATTTTCCACATTTTCCAGTAACTGTACAGGTTACAAACAGCCCCAGTCAAATGTCCCCTCAGGGCAGGCTTTGCAAGTCCCAGATCGAAGCTTTAAGCCATTTTTGGTGTCCCAAATCCACAGCTACACATCAGGAGCACAAACACAGTTCAGTCTCACCAGCTGTTCACTGCAGGTACATGGAAAGGTGTGAGAGGGGGTGTTAATCAGAGCACTGATTTTTGGTGTGGTTGTGCTCAAAGAGAGAAGGAGCCTGGAGGAACTAAAGAGCCCACGATACAGCCCAGCAACGCTTCCTGTCACTGCTGCTGACGTGCTAATGATTTGTCAGGAGTTTAATGAGCTGGAAGTGGAATGCTCTGTGAAGTGCTTATTTTGGTGGCAGTTCAATGATGTTTCCACCTAAATATACAGGTTATGTTAATTGATGTCAACAAGATAAGATGAAAGCGATAGACACAAAAACATCCCTTAAAAAGCAGGTGTGATTTTTCACCTGTGTATCCCATCTCACCTTGCTTCTGGATTTAAGTCCTTGCTCCTGTCTTCTTAATTTGACTCCTGTTTCCCTCTTGGTGCACTCCTTATGTAGTCATGACCAGGAAAGGACCAAGGATCATATCCCGTAGGAGCAGATCCCTTTTTCCTCTCTAAAACTAGGAGAAAATACCGAAGGGTCCTATCTGTACTCTTAGTCTGTTGTCTTTCCTCAGACCTTCTCTTGGACATACACAGGATTATAAACCAAACAAAACCACCAATGAAATCTGCCTTTAAACCTTTAAATATGGGATAAACTCAGAGCTTGTGTGTCAACAGCCTGTGCACAGCCTGACGTGTCTGGGTGGGATACACCCAACTCCTGTTGTTACCTGACTGATGGATACCTGACCTATCTGGAGGGAGGTTTCCATGGGGTGGTGGGGATGGATTTCCATGACCACTCAGTGTCCACACTGAGTGTTTTGGAGGGCTTTCTGCCCAACAGAAGGAAAAACAGAGGTGCATTTCATTTTCCAAAGTGATCCCTGCTACAGAGTAAGGAGAGTGGGTCTCTGAGGGTGAGGCCACTGGGCCTGTTTGTTGTGGGTTGGTGTGCTGTTTTGGGAAACGGGAGCTTTCCCATTGCTTTGGTGTTCCAGCTGGTCACAGCACCTCTGTTGCACCTCGGTGACACCTCGGCCCTGGTTTGTCACTGTGTGACATATCCCTCTCCATCCCTTCCCACAGCAATCCTGCGTCAACTGTGGACGGGAGGCCACCAATGAGTGCACGGGATGCCACAAAGTCAACTACTGCTCTACGTTCTGCCAGCGGAAGGTATCAGCTTGTGACCTGGGATTCAGTACCCTGGAGAGGGTTGTGTGACCCTGGGGACAGCCAGGCTGCTCAGGCAGCCTGATGGGTGTCAGCATGGAGGGAGGAACAGGCAGCAGAGCCAGGCAGTCAGAGCAGAACCTTGCATGGGCCAAGCACTCCAAACCCACCCTGCCAGTGGGATCACCAGCAAGGCTGTAGTGATGGGACAGGTGTGCAAGTCAGGACAGGGTTAAAAGGGTAGAGGAGATCCCCAGATTTGCATACACCTTCCCAAAGGTGATCCAAAAAATCCAAGTAACAATAGAAATGAAGCATGGAACTGTGGGGAGCTTGGAGCACTTTTACAGCCCCTTCCTGCAGCTTCCTGGTGAGCTGCTTACTTCCTTCCCTGCTGTTCCTGCCATGCCACTGAGGACATAGTTCTCCTTTCCATTATTTGTGATGCTGTAGGTGATGCAGTGGGACAGACTCTACAATTGTGAACTTGGGAGGTGGGAAGAGGTGGGAAGTACACCTGGAAGCTGCTGTGTGTCATGTTTCAGACCAGTTCCTTACAGCAACCATTGGCCCCTGCTTGGAGAGAAGGATGGTTCAGTTTAGCCAGTTACAGCTCTGCTGGGTGGCCAGGTTCAGGCTGAATCAGCTGTCCTGAATTCAGTCAGTTCCAGGAGGAATCTGTTCCTGTCCTAGCTGAACTAAGATCCTGGCACAGCTGTCCCTCGGGAGTGCTCAGTGTCGAGAGCTGCCTTTCAGGAGAGGCTTTAATTTAAGGTTCTGAGTCAGTTTTAGTAAATTTTCCACCTGACTGACACTGATACCATGGATTGTGGTTTTTGTGGAGATGGCAGCATTCTGCTTAGTCCAATTCCACCTCTTGTAGTGATCCAGTGCGTGGCTCCTTTGCCCTTCATTGTTGGTCTGGTTTGTGGAGAGAGAGCTCTTCTCACACAGTGAGGGCCCTTCTCCAAGAGCCCATTCTGCTCACAGCCTTTCCCTCTGCTCTCCCCTGGCAGGACTGGAAGGACCACCAGCACATCTGTGGCCAGTCAGCCACGGTGACAGTGCAAGGGAGTGAGGTGCACGTCCCGGACAATGTCATGGAGAAGGTCACTGTGTGAGTGCTCTACCTCCGCAGCCGTTCATGGACATGCGGGGCCGAATGGATCGGCGACTGGCAGGAGCGGTCTGTCCTGTGCCAACAGCACTCTCATCACTAGCAGACTCATTTTTCATTGACATTTTGATACTGTGACAGCATTTGTCTATTCCCAATCCCCTTCCAAAGATTTGGATAATACAGAGACTGTGAAAATCTCATCTGGAGCCCTCTCCCTTCCGTCCTGGCCCCGACTGGCTTTGGGAGGCTTTGCCTTTGCCTGACTGGATCCTCCACCATGTGGATTACAGCAGTCTCCTCATCTCCCTTGAGATGGATCTAAAGTAGGTGCTGCAAGGAGATCTGCCAGTGCTTCCTCCTACCAGGACCTCCCTACCTCTCATTAGAGAAGAGAAATGAATCTTTGGTTTATTTAATTGCCTTGAAAAAGTTGGTGCAGGTTCTTAGTTTGGCATTGAAACACAGTTTTTCCTGTGTTCCCTCTGTGCTGGGCAAATCTGGAACACATTGGAACTTCTCCACTTAAATATAATTGAAAAATAACATGTTAAATAAAATGCGATGAAAGCACAAGTGTGCCCAGTGGTCCCCCTTAATTCCCAGGGCAGCACTTTGTGGTACAGGTACCTGCACAGCTGAGTGCACCAACAGGCACATGTGTGTCTACTGCCTGTCTACCTGGGGGGTGTTTTCTCCACAGGGAAGCACAGGTTCATTCCATAGTGTGCCTGGAATGTCACTCATAGCATCCAGCTGGCCAGAATCAGATGGAATCAAGCCCAAGGTGAGCACACATGGATATGGGGCTGTTCTGTCCCTGCCCTATTGGAGGTGCTAATTAGAGATGTGCTGATCATTAGGGAGTTACTTGCATTGTTCACTGCAACAAAATAATTTTAATTATTAATCTACTACTTTAATAATTAAGTTAATCCTTTGTTTGTTAATTAAGTTGTGGTTGGAGACTTCAGAGGAGTCATGACAGGCACAGAAGCCTCTGGTTGTATGGTTGGGTTTATTTTTATCTCCAGGTATAGCCCCCGTTAGCAGTCACAACCCCATGAAGGGTCACCATTGTTTGCTCTGGTTGAGGGGTCACTTGTCCTGCCTCTTGTTTGCACCAGTTTGGTGATGATGGGTGAGGGAGGATGGTTGTTCAGCTCCTGCTCCAGGCAGGGTCACCTGAACCACAGAGTGACCCAACCCAACATCACACACACTGTCAAATGGAGAAACTTCTATCCTGCGTTATGGGAAACTTGGAGAAAAAAATGCCATGGAAAAGACTCAAAGGTGAACTCCATGGAAAAGTTTAGAGGATTCTGACAAATCTATTCCTTCCCCTGTGCATGTTAAAGGTCTGTTAGGTTGCATTCCATGTGTTCCAAGGCAGTAGGAGTTGGTTTGCCATCTCTTTCAGGGTCTCAGAAGTGCCCTTGGTGGGTTTGCCAGCGGCACCAGCTCCCGAGGGACATTGGTCACGAGTCTCCCATGGAGTGAGGTGACAGGGCTCCCACAGTCAGTGGCAGGTGATGAGTGTTACTTCCTGGCTGTCTCCTGGGAGTTATTCCTCCTAATGCAGAGCTGAGCAGGCCCAGGGGGCAATACTGGAGTGCCATCGAGGGCAAGGAGCTGGTGGCCACAGCATGCAGCTCTTCCAGAAGGAAACCATGCTTCCAGTGAAAGCCAAGCAGGAACTGAGGCAGGATGTGTATGAGATGCTTCGGGGTGTGGATGGTCTGAGACATGGCAGAGACCTCTGTAGTCGAGTTAGATGTTAGTAGTTTATTTCAGAGCGTGGGGGAGAGAGAGAGAGCCTGCTATGAGCCAGTAGATAGAGCTCAAAGCGGGCTCAGAGGGAACAATACAAAAGGGGGTAAAATATGAATACATGAGTTCAAGACTTAAGATTGCTATGAAAGAGAGTAACAGAACAGAAGTGAGAGAGCCAGGAAAAAAGGGTAAAGAAGAGCAGGAAAGAGCAGGAAAAAGAGAGCAGCAAGAGTGTAGAAAGCGTGAGGCAAGAAAGCTAAGAGAGAGAACTCTCTTTTACAATTGCTTATATAATCTATACATTGAATATTCTATTCCTTCACTAACCAATCTTTCTAAGTATACTAATACAGTAATATTTGTGTGCGACCTATAGAAATTTCTGCTTTTGCATATTTTTAGTTATCTCAGGGTCCTTCAGAGCTTTCCTTATAAGGCTGGGGAGAGGGGTCTTAGCTTAGTTTTATTGGGGAAAAGAATGTGTTCTGGCATACCAGACCGGTTTCTTTGAATTATTCAAACCGTGCTTTCATTTGTATTTCTTCCTTAGCCTTTCTGGCTAAAGAGTCATATTTATAATTTCTTTCTAATTCTACCTTCCCAACAAGGATGGGAACAGAAATTACCTGTGATACTCCTGGGAAGGAAAAAACAGGCAACTCCTTCCATTCCCATAGCAAAATGCTTCCCAAAGTAATACGAGAGTGTTTGGAATGGTTTCTGCTCACAGTTAAATGCAGATTGCCTGTTGTCTAAAACTTAGAGACAATTAGTTAATTGGGAAGACAGTCTTAATTGAGCCCACAGTAACACATCTCATTTACCGGGTTTCTTGCATCCTGCATTTGGATGCAGCAAAGACAGCTCCGAAGTAGCACCTCTGGAAAGCCCCCAGTGCCCTGCTATCTGGGGCAGCTGTGCCCCAACCCAGTGAATGACAGCTCAGAAATGCACCATATAATCATGTGGGAACTGTTTGTTTGCAGATGAGAAATTGAGCACTTGCTGTTTTTAGAAAAAGGACCACTCAAGACATCCCTTTTCTGTTCTGCTTCCAAGCAAATTCCCTCCTGGAAAGCAACAATCCCGTACAAAATCATTACTCGTAAGACTGTAATTTTCTGCAATATTCTTTTTTTCCTCTCCAAGCCTCAGTGACAAGCATCACCTGTCCCAGTGGCTGCTGTGTCTGTCGCTGCATGCAAGTTTACCTAAAGGTATGAAGGATTTTTTCCTGAGACTGGAAATGGTTTCTGGCAGGAATCATGTGGCTTCACAGGAAATTCTGAGCACTAGCAATAACATTATGGTGCCTTTGTAAGACCCTTGTTAAACATGAGTGAAATCAGTTTTTGGGTTTAAAATTATCAGGGATAAGGGGAAAGGAGGTTGCATAGGTGGATTCACCCTCACCTGGCATATGGCCATCTGGAAATGAGCTTGGTACCCTTGTCTGGCATGTGGACATCTGGGAAATGAGCTTAACAGCTTTTTCCCCCAGATTTGTGTCCATGTCACCTCACAGCCCTGTTAATACCACCCCAGAAGCCAGAAGATTAGAAATTACTATTATTATTATCCGTGGTTGCATCAAACAGCAAGTGTTAAAAAAGTGGCTTCACTTGGCAGTTTCCAGTGGGAAGAGGATTCAAGCTGCATCCACGGGCCCTCCCCTGTAACACCTCACTACAAGGATCTGGGGATCCCTTCCTTCAGCTGCCAGCTCTCATCCTCCCCTCATCCCCAACAAAGACAGCAGACCAGAGGCAGAAATAGACCTTTAATGAACTATACAAAAAATGACCCAGTGGTTCCTCCTGCCTGGTGGTTCCTCCTGTGCAGAGGGCTCAGCAGAAGACATGCAAGACTTTGCGGAAGAAGTTCCTGAACTCGGCGTTGAACACGGTGTAAATGATGGGGTTGAGAGCACTGTTGACGTAGCCCAGCCAAGTGACAGTGCTGGTGACTTGAGGGGGGATGGAGCAGGACTTGCAGAGGGCCCTGGTAATGTGCACCACAAAAAAAGGTGTCCAGCAGAAGAGGAAAGCACCTGCCAGGAGGACAATAAAGAGAGAAGGTGATGTGAATGTTCAGAAGGGTTTAATTTAACGAAGCCTGAGCCAAAAAAAAAAAAATATACACAGCTCAAGCACTCAGGGAAGAGGCAGCAGTTGTGCTGACAAGTGGAGCTGGGCTTATGCCCAGAAAAAAACTGGGATGTCTCTCCTATCCTAAACACTGATGAAAAGTCTTAAGTAAGTCTTGCTTTGGCTTTGAACTTAAGATATTGGGAGTCACAGGTTTGCCTTGAAGGGAGGTTGGGTTATAAACCTTTCCCAAGGGTGGTGGTTTTTGGCACTGCTCTGGATTCACCCAGGTCCTGCCAGTCTGAGCGCTGTGATGGGACAAGCTGGCACATTTCCCACCCTCCCCAGCCACCCCTGACAGCCACTCACCGACGACGACCGGCAGCACCCGCATGGCCTTGCGCTCCCGGCCGTTGATCTTGGCCCGCTTGTGCCCATGCCCTGGGTGCGGGTACCTGAGGTGCGGGTAGGAGACAGTCTGGATCCCACTGTTCATCCCACACTCTCCAGGGAGGCCGGCACGGGCATAGGGGCTGCTGCAGTCCAGCAGCCCCAGCCGGGTCTGCTCTCTCTCCATCAAGGTTGGGGGGTGATACAGCTTCCTGTTGGCTCCATAGATGCAGCCTCTCAGCTTGGCCTTCCGGGCTTCTTCCCAGCGCTTGAGTCCTTGGAACATGCCACAGTACAGCACCAGCATGACAGGGCATGGGATGAAGAAGGAGCAGATGGAGGAATACACGATGTAGTTGTCATCCTCCAATTGGCACAAGCTAGGGTCCCGGTCTGGGACATTGTTGAGACCAAATATGACTGGGGATGCCACAGCAAAGGCGAATATCCAGGTGGTGGATATAAGGATCAGCTGCCGTAGGTCAATCTGTCGCCGGTTGTAGTTGAGAGGGATTTGAACAGCGATGAACCTGCCAACACAGCCCTGGGTGAGTCAGTCTTGGTGTGGTGGTGGCACCACTGGTAATGTAACTGAGGGGCCCCAAGCTCCTTGTCACTGTCCTTCCCCCCATTAATTTACAAACAGCCGAGGCCTGGGCTACAACCAGAACAGCCAAGGGACAGCTCTGGCTCATCTCACAATGGGCTTGGCCACCACTGGTGAGACACACACCTGGTGGTGAAGGACATTAGAGCAGAACACCCTCCTTAGGGGAGGGTAGAATCCCTGCTTGGGACACTGGCAAGGGCCTATGGAACCAACATGCTGCCCAGGCACAGCCAGAGCAGGAAGCCACTCACCGATCCACGCTGATAGCACACAGGTTGAAGATGGAGGCTGTGCACAGCATCACGTCCATGGTCATCAGGGCATCGCACAGCACCGTGCTGAGGGACCACACTCCTCCCTGGAACTGAAAAGATCCCTGGAGTCAGCAGATGCTGTGTCCTTTAAAATGATAGGAACATGGCCATGCCTGGGTGCCTCAGCCACTCATGTTCCCTCCAAACAAGCAGCCCAAAGCTGAGTGCTCCTCCTGTGGCACAATGCTTCCAGCAGCACATGGGAATCAGCCCCAAACAGAGCCCACAGCCTGCTCAGGGCTTGTGGTTCTGGCCCATCTGGAGAACTGAGCTTTCAGACCATCAGTACAGCCAAGTGAGTCATGCTGGGCAGAGAAATGGACACGGGACATTGTGCTGCCTTGGGTGAGGGCAGGTACCTCCAAACTCCTCAAACCC